ATGCATGCTACCTAAGTAGTCATTTTTTATAGAGTGCAAGCGCATCTACCGCGGAAAATAAACTATTTTAGACTTAAACCGCTAAACGCTAAAACAACGGCTAATCTGGCTCAGATTTACTCGGGAATTGGAAAACTTTCAAAACATAAATATACCCTATCTTCAACTTTAAACTGTAAAGATGACGTCAGGTGCTACCAAATTAGTAAACGAAAGCTTACTTTTATGTATGTTTTGCATAAAATATGTTTGAATTGATAAATCAATCTAAAACAAGTGCGAAAAATACATACTACATAAGTAGTCACCTTTCAACTAGGGCACCATTTATCAGGGTGTCGTACGGGAGCGCATTCAAAAGCCAACAGTTTGGCGATTCCGATATATTATGAGATTATACCGCGTGATATTTAACATAATAATCCCACTTAAGTAATCCTTACCAATGGAAAACGCATTTCAGAATTTCGACCAACATTTCATGAAACCGGTCACCAACTGTAGGTTTTTACGAGTTTTCCTTCTCTTCCATCACGTGGTTTGTTATGAATGAAAGTTGGGACTCTGTGGAATAGCGATTTCCCTGATCAAAAAGGGCTTTCTATACGGGCCACATCCTATTCACAGACCCTCACAGCCGCGATAACTTACCGTTGACAAAGCACGTAAGTCATTGAGTCCCCGTTTGCAAAAATAAATCGCCATTTTAACGTCTCCACGGGAAAGCGTCAAGAAGGTTTCACCAGTAATGAACTTAAGCTGCTTTCAAACTCTTCCGAAAATTTTTAATTTATAAAATAAGGGACTCCGCAGAAATCCCGGATATTTAGTTTTTAATTGTAGGGAGTATAATTTGTTGTGCTTTCCACCATCAACCCGTGCGGTAATAAGACATGCTTTTGTCAGCATTTTCGAGAGTCGTAAAATGGAAATATGTAGACAGGTAACTACTGGCTGTGCGCGGAGAACTTTCAAACCAGCAAACCAGCAACGAGTGTGTGAACAGCCATTCAGTCCAAAGTGCAGACATGCTTGCAGACAATCAGACGCAAGCGCCATAAGTTGGTCAGGATGGAATATGCTCTTGGGAATCATAAACATGGCAGAGAGATCAGGGTTGAGTTTAATCCTATCATTGCTAGAGCGGAGAACCTATCCGAGGCAACCGACGATGTCTCGTGGACCAGAAGCGAAAACCGGACGCGCCAATTTTCTGTGGACGAAAGTAAAAACACTTAGAAGGTCGAGGCCAGTTAAAAAAGTAGTCATTGGCATCTTTATTTGCACCCGGTTTTTGTTAAAACTGTGGGACCCAAGCAGCTGATGCACGCGGTCGATTGGTTGGGCTGACTGTTACAGGGACGTGATTAGCCTGGGCTGTGGTTGCTATAGGTACCGTTTAAGTGACAAACTTTTTCGAATGATATGGGTTAAGCTGATTAGGAAGTATTCCCAACGAACCGCCCATAAGTTGTCTCATATGCGTGTCAAACTCTACACGATGAGGAGTCTGACCTCCTAGAATGAAAGATACGCACTCCCAGACAACAAAAACTGAAAAACCAACCTTGGCTTATAAAATCTTGTTGTCTGAAGTTTCGATAGCGACGGCGGAACGTGGGATGAAACCACGCGACAAAGTTGCTAATGGGGAAATCACCCTGGACGCGAATGACCGAACATGCAGCGCCAGTGAGGAGGAATGACGCTAACTCCGAGTCACGACTTATTCGACGGGACGCGGCCACACCATAAAGTTTGGCAAGGCCCACATTCTTGCAAGAGGCGATAACCGTGTGGGCCGAAAGCTACTCGACTCGTGGTTATCCGGCCCCGGTCAATCAACAAGCGCAAGGAATTCCCTACCCTATATCCTGCGCTGAGGCTGCCTGGGCGGAGTAATTAATCCTGCGGAGATAGTGTGGGTCACCGACAATTTTAGTGTCAGTGTGCCAAATAACGGAGTAATTATCACGCTAAGAATTCGCAACGGTGAGTACATTTTGGCAATCAACGACTCGGATGAGGATTAGCGAGTAGTTATCACCTGAGTTACGCCTCCCAGCGGTGAATGGAAGAGCTGCAAGTTATGTTTCGGAGACACTTTGTAATATAAAAGCTGCGTTTCCTGTCTCCCTACTATCCTTTTCTGTGACTGTCTCTGGTGGTGAATCCGATTGAGAATTCGAAACGTCAGGCAAACAAACCTCTTGTTCCAGCGATCGCATCATCATCATCATCATCATCATCATCATCATCATCATCATCATCATCATCATCATCATCATCATCATCATCATCATCATCATCATCATCATCATCATCATCATCATCATCATCCTCTTCTTCTTCTTCTTATTCTTCTTCTTCTTATTATTCTTCTTCTTCTTCTCTTCAGTTGTTAGCACTGTTCAAGCCGCCGCTGACTAATCGCCGGTGGCCCTTTATAACACATCGGTCGTGAGCCATAATAAGGAGCCGGGAGAGAAAAATGCGGAAGGGAGTAGGTGACTAAGTAGCACAGCTGCTGTCGGAGATTGTTTCTGTGCCAATTACAATCCAACCGCCCGTGTTAGTGTTGCCACCACCTGGCTTTAACCGCCAAGCTGCTTCGGTTAGGTCGGTCTGTAGGGCCTCCAGGCCGCAGAGTGTTACACAAGGAATAATGGTTGCCCTTCATTTGCGAACGGTTTCGAATATCTCCCTGTTGCTATCTATTACCGGTTTCCGTGACGTAGTTTGCCTGTTACCAACCGAATAGAATTCGATAGGCGAAGTGTGAGGTAACCCCTTTTGGCAGTTATTCTTGCAAGCCAACGATTTGTGCATAAATTATCACTTCAGGTTGGTGGGCAACGCCCTCCGCCAGATATTTCAACCGGCGGCCAACGGACTCGTAGGTGCCGCCAATACGCTGTAGCACCCGCAAGACTCGGCTGTATTAATATCATGTTAATTCAAGGAATGCACACGTCTGCTATGCCGTGATCAGTAAACCATGACCCTCACAGCCTGGTGTGAGCTGGCAGTTCTCTGGCACCTGCTTCTCTGTTGGTAGATGCGCTGGCGCTCCCGCTGGGTATACGGGTCGTGAACATGGCTGCCCAATCATCCTCGTCGTCTTTCTGACCCGTTGTGGTGCTGTTGTTGTTGACCAAAATCCTGGCCAAGTGTATGTTGTGGACCAGGGGGTGTGGTGGCACGCCAAGGTGCGGGTTCGGCCGCACCTGCGCTCTCTCCCTCCTCCGGTCGGCTGGATGCCGGCTTTCGAACGAACTTCCTTCCGGCTGCATGCAAAAACTATACTCTGTAAACAATAACTACTTATGTAGCGTGCATTTTTCTCAGTGATTTTCGATACCCTTAAAAATTCAATTATATTTCATGGAAACATGCACACAAATATTCATTATTGTACTCATTCGGTAGAAAATTACGTCTTCTTTCAATTTCACGCTTGAAGGAAGGGTATAATTCGGTTTTTAAAAAGTTTGTAACTGTGAGATTTTTTAATAACGTGAAATGGCCCTTCATAAAACGTCATGTCTCTGCATTCACCAATGCGGCTTGTAAAGTTAACAATGTGGCTCAAATCCACTGCTACATTTTATGGACCCCATATGGTCTCCTCTTAATACCGTAGATAAATATATGGTTTTCCGTACTCGGAAATTATACGGCTTGTAGTTTGGGAACCCTGAATGCAAGTGTAACGGCAGGTCGGATTCAAAATTATTCGGGAATTGGAAAAGTTTTATAAAACCGAATTATGTCATTCCTTCGAGTATCAAATTGAAAGAAGACGTAATTTTCTGCTGAATGAGCAAAAGAATGAATATTTTTGTACATGTTTTCTATGAAATGTAATTGAACCTTTAAGGGTATCGAAGATCAGTGAAAAAATGCATGCTACATAAGTAGTCATTTTTTAAGGAGCATGGTATTTGGATGCAGTCGGAAAGACGTTAGTTCAAAAGCCGGCGTCCTGGGGTAACTGAATATTATAGAATTATGCCGCATTGTGATTAGTTTTACAACCCTATTTAATTATTTTTTTTCGAAACGGTAACGCATTTCGGGATTTCTGTTGACATTTCACGAGTTAGCCCTCCTATTGTGTGTCTTGGCACGAGGCTCATGTGGCGGAGGAAGTGGAGAAGAAAAAGGAGAAACAGAGAGTGCGGAAGATACCGCGCAAGGTTGCTCTCCCTATACACCACTTCACGCGCAAATCACCGTGCCTGCTCCCAGTCTGCTGTGGAACACACGGTGTTGGACATCGTCGAGCACGACAATCGAACTGTTGGTATCGTGTTAGTAGGCAGTTACTTTCCAGAGAGTTGTCAACCGCTGTTAACAAATAAATTGAAACACAGATTAGGAAGCCCGAAAGGAATGCCACTATTACCGGTCTCGTTTTCGGTCCAGGAACAGGTAACCCGAAAAGAGTTTCCAAACAGTAGCGGTCAGGTGAGCTCCCCGCTTGTCCATAAAACGGGTCACGCAGTAGATGTGTTGGACCAACACGGGGGCTAGATCGGGGTCTGATAGGCGTTACTGGGAATAAACACCCATAAAGAATGCCAACATTGGAGGTGCGTCAGCAGGTCCAGGTGCAAGTCCACGCCGCGCTGGCAAACCGCCCCCCCTTTTTTTTCCTTGTTTAAATTCTCATAAGTGTACGCTGTGGATCAGGAGGTGTGCTGGTACGCATATGTGCAGGTTTCCACTGTGCCAGCCACCTGCGTCCCCTCCTGCCTCCAGTCTTCTTGACTCTGTCTTGACACCGAGGTCGGGTGACGGAAGAGGAGAGGGAGTGCGGTAGATGCTGCGCAAGTCTAATGTCACTATAAAATAATCCACCCACGCGTCACCATCCCTGTCTCCACCCTGTTGTGGAGCACACGGTGGACATTGTCGGAAGTGGCGGCCGGACTGTGTTGTAGCATGCCGGCGTTGTTCCCTTAGTAGCAAAATTATTATTATTGTTGTTATTACTATCATGATGATTGGTAGTAGCAGTAGTAGTAGTAGTAGTAGTAGTAGTAGTAGTAGTAGGAGTAGTAGTAGTAGTAGTAGTAGTAGTAGTAGTAGTAGTAGTAGTAGTAGTAGTAGTAGTAGTAGTAGTAGTAGTAGTAGTAGTAGTAGTAGTAGTAGTAGTAGTAGTAGTTGAGGTGCACTCAGCCTCAATATCACTAAATTGGCCAAACCTCCCACAGTCACTGCTATTTGCGCTACTGGTATTACAGGTAACGCAACAAGTTCTGCCACCACTATTACTACCGCTATGACGATGGATGCAACAGCCAGATATTCCTGCACGATAAGGGATATCATCGGGGCCTGCTAGATTAGGCATGATCGCAGCCGTACCAAGTAAGCAATGCACGATAATGTTCTTTTTGCACATGGCTTGGACTAACAAAAAATACCACTAACTGTACCATATCTACCACAGCTAGTACTATCAGTGCTACAACTAATACCACCACTAATATTAGTACTACCTCCCCCCCCCACCATCATCACCATCATCGTCATCACCACAGATACTACCACTATCCTTATCACCAAAACCACATCGGCCACAACTACTGCCACCATTATCATACAGATCTGCTGGTAAATAGTTTTTAGGTCCACGACTTGGACTGGCAAAAACCTCAACCACACGTGTAACCTGGAGAGGTGGATTTGATCGGGGAGTGAGTAGGGAACAGATGTCGGTTTTTGACCAAGATCCTAAACCAACCACTCACCCGGTGTAGCAGCAGTCGCCTCTCCACCCCCTCTCCTGGATGACCAAATGGTGCCCATATGCCAGCCGCCGCCGCTGCCGCAGCTGGTGCTGTGTAGGCAAGCTGACCAGCTGGCTGGAGACACGCGCAGTTGGAATCAGCGACCCTCTTGAGCACACCGTCTGTGCATGCGCGCTCACGCGTTGCCTGCACCCCGGGAATCAACTGTGGGTGGTTCTGTGTCCGCACATGCCATGCCAGATGAATAGGACTCGCAAACCCTGACGTGCGGAGACCTCTCTCTCTCTGGGTGTGTACGCGCGCGCGCGCGCGCCAGCGAGCGCGCCTGTGTGAGAAACAGATTGCGTCGCCAGTTGGTAGAACAGCCGGCGAACAGACGGTTGGGTGCATGCGCATATGGGTCGCCCCGCGTGGACGGCCGTCGAACACCCATCACACTACACGGAGTTCAGCCGGCCAACATGGAAGTCGTTGAGTGCTCTATTGGGTAAATTTGGACACTTCTGTAGAACTGGGAATGAGCAAAACACGGGGGCTTAGAGGATCGTGCTCAGCGTTTAAAATGATGCTCTCACGGTCATGCGAGTGCCAGCTGTTCACGCACTTTTTCCACAATCCTCAGTAATGGCGGTGTACGTATGTACGTGGGCAAGCACGATTTCATCCGACGGGACGAAAACTGATTTAGCAACATGTGAGGGAGTTGGCATCATTTTCGCCTTAAAAAACTGCATTCGTCGACCAGTCTACTGTTTTGTACCCTAGAAACTAGGGCGGCCGGCCTGACATCAGCTGATTTCTACAAGTCCTCAACCGCTAAGAACTAAGACGAAGAGTGTGGTGCGTTTGAGGGTGACTGCTTTGGATTGCAGACATCGTATAATAACTGATAGAAGCGAACAGGCGCGTTCCAGGTAACAGTTCAAAAGACGAAGACGAGATCACTGGAACAAGAAATGTATTGGCCTAACGTTTCGGATTCTCACTCGAATCCATCATCAGAGACATTCGCAGATAAAGGTGGCAGAAGGAATGCAGTAGTTATAGCACGTGGCTGCCGTGGGACCATATGCGCGCTGTAAATAACAGCTCTCGCAATCACCGCTGGGGTCGTAACTGATGCGGTGGTGGCTTGTCAGTCCGAGTCCGACACCTAGTGTAGACCGTGTTGGGGTGCTACGCGTGCTCTGTGTGCGCGATATCAAACTTAAAAGGGGACAGGGTTAGAAGTAGGTTGTCCCACGGAGGACTCGAGTTTTCTTGGCCTGACAGGTTCTCAGAACGTCGACACCACAAACGCGATGTCCACCGTTTGCACTACAGAATGGTGCGCTCAGAGGCGGTGACGTGCGCATTTACTAGCTTATAGTGAGAGCTGACTTGAACTGCACCTAACGCACTTTCCTCTCCTCATCCCCCACCCACCCAAAGCCGGGCTGGGCGCAATGGTTGACACGGCCAAGCAGCCCGTGCACACGGACCACCTATTACTTGGTCTGCGCACGATGAGTCACAACATTCATTCCTGTGAGGAGGGCAAGTTATCCCATCAGTAGGGCAGCCTTCTAAACCACGTTTTTTTAGTGCATCGTAGCATTTTGTTGGTAGTGAGAAAACTCACAGAAACGCAGTGGGGATTCTGGCCCCAGAGTCGCCTTCACGTCCTCTTCCTTCTCTCAGGCACCAGTACGCTAGCAGGGCCGTTCGGCCACTTGATGCGAGGGTCAGGCGCAAGAAGCTGGCGCGTCTTGGGTATTCGTCTAGGCGTGTTGCTACAGCCCCATGTGCAGCCTGATTAGAGATGCTGTGCCTTCATTTAGCCTCCGCGTCGGTCCAGCGCCTCTCGAGTGTGACACGTTGTGGAGTCGTAGCTCAGAACCCCAGGCACACATTCGAGCGTATACTTCCAATTCTGCCGATACAAGCAGAGAAAAGGACTACCCGCGCAACTTCGTCAACCGGTGAGTGAGCAAACGAGACGGGCGACAAAATCGCGCCGACGAGCGATCCCGTACATACAGAACGTCTCCGAAGGCGTTAGTCGCCTTCTAGCACCACTAGGGGTTGGAGTTGCACACAGACCGGAGGCCACCATTAGGCGTCATGTGATAAGACCAAAAGACCCACTGCCACGACAAGAAACATCTGGAGTCGTTTACCGGATCTGGTGTAGTTGCGGCCAAAGCAAATACGTCGGAGAAACTGGAAGACTGCTCTGGAGGCGAATCGTCAAACACGCGGTAGAGGTGCGGAGAAATGACGCCAACTCTCAGGTAGCGGCCCATTCGAAGAGACCCGGCTACGTATTCAAGTTAGATTAGGCCGAAATTCTCGCAAGAGGGGATAATCGCGTGAGCCGCGAGTTGCTTGAGTCATGGCTCACGGGACCTTAGTTTGCCAACAAGTGCAACGACATCCCCACTCCATATTCGGTGCCAAGGCACAGTCTGGCCAAAGTAATTGACCACTCGGGGAGCACGCAGGCCGGTGAGTCAGATGGTCGAGCAGTCATCACGCTAGCATTCAACATAGATGAGATTTCGGCAATTAGCAACTTGCATGTCGGCCATCAAGTAATTAGCGCACCAGCGGGCAACAATCCTCGATGAAGGGGAGAGCGGTTAATCATCATAGGTATGCGGTAGCATGGCGACTGCATCCTACAAATACTGCAACTTCCTATGCACGAATCACCCATATCTGTCACTGTCTCTGATGATGGATTCGAGCGAGAATCCGAAACGTCAGGCGAATAAAACTCGTATTCCAGCGATCGCTTCTACTTCTAATCAACTTCCCATTCTCCCGACAGCGTTGGCATCCTTCGATGTACTGCTCTGTCTCTCAACCCCCTAGCCCCCAACAAGTCAGTGGCTGATTTCATAAAATTTTAACGGAGACACTAAGACAGGCTTTCGATTAAGAAGGATCGCTTAAGCGAGGTTGGTAATATTGATTATCATACGGTATAATTCGGTGGTATTTCAGACTCACCTGAATTTCGGCTTTTGGATGCACTTCTTTTTGACTGTTTGCAAAAACCGCGCCCGGCAGAAAATGGCGCCGTAAGTAGTATGCATTTTCCTTTGATTTTCGGTGCCTCCATATATTAAAATAAATAGTATAGAAAATATGCACAAAAATGGTAGAAGGGGGTTCACCGATCGCGTTGCGGAATTCACTCTTCCCGTTGTGACTTAGGGCTCTCTCTCGAGCCCAACCAGCTGCCGCGCAGCGGCGCGTGATAGATAGTTAGAATAGCATTACCGACAAAGACAAGGGAACTGGAATGGCCATTTCTGGCTTATTAGCCGTCGTCAGTCAGTCACACCCAACCTCGAAATGTGGGACACTGACGATGGTTAATAAGCCAGAAATGACCATTCCAGTCTCCCTTGTCTTTTTCTGTAATGCTATTCCGCCTATATTATGTGTCGCTGTGCGGCTGCTGGTTGAGCTCGAGAGAGAGAGAGAGAGAGAGAGAGGGAGAGAGAGAGAGAGAGAGAGAGAGACAGAGCGAGAGAGCCTTAGGCACAAGGGGACGAGTGAGTTCCGTAACACTATTGGTGAGCGCCCTTCTACCATTGTATGTATATTCCCGATCACAACCGACAGGACAACGAGCCCGAGGCTCGGTATTTAGGACGTTGGACTTCTAACCAACATGTCGCGGGATCGAGCTCCAGGTGTTCCACACCTCGAGTTTGGGGTATGACTGGCTGACGACGGCTAATAAGGCAGAAATGGCTATTCCAGTCTCCCTTGTCTCTGTCAGCAATGTTATTATGCACAAAAATATTTTTTCTTGTACTCATTCCGTAGTAAATCGTGTTTTGTTCAAATTCCGTACTCCAAGAAAGAGTCGCTTTTGGTCTGAAAGTTTTCCGATTCCCGAAGAATCTAGAGCCTGATCAGCCGTTGCAGTTGTGTCTAGCGTTTTCAGCCTGCAAGCTGTACACTTTCCGCGTAATGAAAATCACACATTCCCCCGTACCATTACGAAGAAACCATAAAGTGCTCATAGAATCTTGTAATGGATGCGACAATGCTGCTTGCCTAATGAGGAGCATTACTCAAAGTTCATATACAAAGTTGTATGAATGGACATTTAACGTTGCTAACAAATTTCATAACCGGTGACTTTCAGAACCGAAAGCTACCTTTTCTTCAAGTAGAAAAATTGATAAAGACGTAATTTGTCTCCAAATCTGTGCAAGATAGTGTATTTTTGAGTATAATTAGTATAATATGTACCTGCATTTATAAAGGCACCGCAAATAAATGTGAAAAACGCATAATCCTAAGGTATTCCTTGTAAGCTAGGAGGTGTTTCTGCAGGCAACTGAGAAAGGATGCACTCAAAAGCCAGCATCTTAGCGGGGCCAACCTACTCCCAATATTACAACCTCACCCAGGTAATCCCTTCTCATCGAAAAGCATTTCTGAAAATCGGCTAAAATGTCAGTTACCCAGCTCCAAAGTAGTGCTTATACTGGCACAGCAGCCCAAATACGGTCTGCGACCCGGGGGATAAAAATCGGATTTCAGGCTAAGATATTCTCCCAAAATTGCGTCATACGAAGTCATTTTTTGTGCAGTTTCATACTTCTAGCATCCTGATGTCGTTTTGGGGTTAAACCGCTCCTGATCACTCCGGACCGGGTCACTTTATTTTGACAGCAAGTTTCAATGAAAACGCAGTTCGATGGTAATATGCTCCCCTCTAATCTACGAGCAGAGAAGTCTCCACCCTGGCTCAATGCTACTGCTGCTGAGCTGCTGCGTATCCAACTTCCTCGACCGCTGATCTCTCTGATGATGCTTTCTAGTAAGGGGTCGAAATGTCAAGCGGATTCAGTTCGTCTTCCAGCTGCCTTTTTTCAGTATATATGAGGGATATAGGCAGAGCCTTGGAAAACCCTATTCACAGATAAACGTATGACAAAACATGCAGATATTTACATAGCAGTTACGCCAGTCATTGATATCGTGTAAATGTTTGACCATCAAGCAAAAAGTCATCTAGTCTTCTTTTGAAGGTCTCGACGTTTCCCGCTAAGACAACGGAGTTCTGAAGAAGAAGACACGATCGCCGGGACAAGAGCTTTATTAACCTGACGTTTCGGATTCCTGCTCGAATCCATCATCAGAGACATAAGCAGATAAGGGTGGTTCATGCACATGTGACTGCAGTATTTATAGGATGCCGTAGCCATGCCACCGCATACCTATGAATGTTCACGGCTCCCTCCCCTTCATCAGGGATCGTTGCACGTGGCGTGATGGTCGATATTCGCGTCGTTAATTGCTGCAATTTCATCACGTGCGTTGGATGTTGGTGTGATGATTGCTCGACCATCTGACGCACTGACCCTGGTGTTGGGAGGAGTGTTCATCAGGGCGCTCCCCGCGTGGCCAATTTCTCCGCCTAGACGAAGTCTCAGCACGCAGTATTGAATGGGAAGATCATTGCACTCGTTAATAGACTGGGGGCCAGTGAACCATGACTCAAGCAGCTCCCGGCTCACGCGGTTGTCACCTCTTGCGAGAATTTCGGCCTCGTGAAAGTTGGATGTGTGGCCGGAACCCGTCGAATGAGCCGCAACTTGAGAGCTGGCGTCATTTCTCCGCACTGCTGCAGCGTGTTCGGCCATTCGCGTTCGGAGCTGTCTTCCGGTTTCTCCGACGTAGTTGCTTTGTCCGCAACTGCACCAGATCCGATAAACGACTCCAGACGTTTCTTGCCGTGGCAGTGGGTCTTGTGGTTTCATCAGTTGACGCCTGATTCGGCAATTCGGCAATTCGCTCCATCCTTCAACCAGCCGGTGGGAGGAGAATTTGGCCCGCAATTCGAGTTTGGCATACTTAAGCTTCAATTTGTATTGGTGGTCTCGAAGATTGGTCGTCCGTGCCAGTTCGTAGAAATCGTCAAACTGAAGAGCACAGTCTAGCCCTCAGACGATCCTAAATGCCGTGATCATATCCCCTCTCTATTGCCTATACGATAGAGGAAATATTTTGAGCTTTTCCAGGCGTCTCTCAAAAGGTAAGCTACTTAATCCACCGACTAGCTTTATCGTCTCGCAAGCCCAATTCGGTCAGATAGGGTTATGTAGGTGTACCTGAGATAAACAAACCCCAGTCAACAGGCGAGTTCCAGGTAGCAGTTCAGAAGATGAAGATGCATCTTCATCTTCTAAACCCCAGTTACCTGTAATACGGGACCGGTGGCAATAGCATTTTTTTACAGGCGAGACCGGCGAGCGCACAGGCGACGAGGTCAAGTAGTCGTATATAAAAGACAAGCTATTGGGAATGCGCGGTTGTACTTTGAGTGGTTGCTCTAACTCCTAACCCTAACCCCTAACCCCAAACCCTAACCCTTAACTTAACCCCGACAGTATTGTGCCCATCAGGTGGGGGCTAAATAACCATATCTTACCCCCACTTGCATATGTGTAACTGTGTCAGACTTTCTTTTGCCACGTGATCTGGCAGTTTCGCGGTTAAAAAAGATATCTGAGGAGGGGGCACTGATGTAAATTAAATCGTAGTGGAATCGAAGCAGGCTCTCTCTCTCTGGAGGAATAAATTTAATGTTTTTGGATGTTGATTTTGAAGCGATCTGTCATATTTGGGCAGCACGGCGATGGGTGCTCACTGCTTAGGATTTCGCACTTCCTAGGACTCCTTGTGGTCTTTCGGTACACCCAGCCATTCAACCTGTCACTTGCAAAGTAGGGCACAAACTCCACCTCCGATGTGATAAGGAGAGATGTGTACAGAGCATTTTGCGCTCTGTACACAGCTACATGGCAGATGTATATCTTAGGTTATTTCAGGGTCAGGTCCCATTAGCCCAGCGTCCTGATTCAAATCGCTAGACTGAGTAACTCTGAAGGGCTCTCGGATCTCTAGTCAAGTCTACTCAATTTACTTAATGTCGAGGCTTCTTTTTTTGGGGGGTATTCACCAAACTGGACTAGCGGTGCTTGGCTGATGCTGTTGTCAGGGCGAGACCAAATTTCGATAGGGTTGGGGTGGTTAGCATGGTAACTAAGTAGGATGCAAATGCATTTTCATCCCCCTCGTCTCCTCAGATAGGGTAGGGGAGGGGGCGGGGTGAGTGAGTGAGAAGGTGGGCGTCCGAGAACGAGGTTAGAAACCAACCGCGAGGCTTGCTGTGTGGGTTCTTCTTTTTTTGACGATGGGTGGACTACGACGTTTTTCAAATCGTGTGAGGACTGGGTTAAAATTCAATTTCAACTCATGCGCGGATTTAGAAGTCCGACCGGAACAAGGTGTATTCAAGTCGTAATTCTCAGGTTATAAACTCATTCCTTTGGCGATTTCCCTTCTCCTTCTCCAACTCATGAAATGGCTCCGGTGTTTCGTAGACGGCACACAGACTGACGCGGCGCAGTTCAGATGTACAGTAGGTGGGCTAACTCATGAAATGTCAGCCGAAATTTCGAAATGCGTTCTCGTTTCGTAAAGATTAATTAAGTAAGGTTGTGAAATTAATCATCATGCAGCACAATTCTATAATAATTTAGTTACCTCAGGGTGATGGCTTTCGAACGAACTTCTTTTCGATTGCATGCAAGAACCATACTCCGCAAAAAATGGCTACATGAGTAGCATAAATTTTTCTCCTTGATTTTTAGTGCCCTTAAAAATTCAATCATATTTAATGAAAAACATGCATAAAACTATTCACTTTTTTACTTATTCGGTAGAAAATTACGTTTTCTTCCAAATTTATACTGGAGGGAGGGGTATAATTCGGTTTCAAAAAGTTTCTAGTTGTGAGGTTTTTAAACACCGTGCAATAGCCGTTCATAAAACGTCATGTCTATGCATCTACCAATGTGGCTCGTAAATTTAGCAACATTGCTCAAATCCACTGCTGAATTTTATGAACCCCATATAGTCTCCTCAAAGTACCGTAGAGAAATGTATGATTTTCCATACGCATAAGGTATACAGCTTGTAGATTGGGAACCCTGAATGCAAGTATAACAGCAAGTTGGGTTAGCAATTACTGGGGAATTGGAAATTTTTTTGAAAACCGAATGATACCCCTCCCTCGAGTATAAAGTTAGGAAAAAACGTAATTTTCTACCGAATAAGTAAAAATGAATATTTGTGTGCATGTTTTTCATTAAATATAATTGAATTTTCAAGGACATCGAAAATCAACGAGAAAAGTTCATGCTACTCAGGTAGCCATTTTTTGCGGAGTATTGTTCTTGCACGCAGTCGAAAAGAAGTTCGTTCGAACGCCGGCACTCTGAGGTAACTGGATTATTATAGAATTATGCTGCATGATGATTAGTTTTACAACCCTACCTAATTAATTTTTTTCGAAAAGAGAACGCATTTCGAAATTTCAGCTGACATTTCATGAGTTATCCCATCTACTGTAACTTTTGCAACTCGATGGAGCACTGCATCGAGCTTACGCTGCCTTTTTTCGGTCAGTCGTGGCCTTGACCAGTCGATGAGGCCAAATATGCGCACGCACGAACACACGGCACAGACGGGGTCAAACAGATGCTCATCTGCGCTCCATTGGCCAGAAGTCCATCCGCCATCCGGCACTCTCTGTCGTCGCCGCAGATTAGGTTTTTATTTGAAGGAATATTTCCCCGGAATGAATTTAAAGCAAGCAAGGACAGCAGAATTTAATGGTACCACAAAATTTCGCGACGGCTTCTCAACTGCTGCCGGTCGTTGCATAACAGAAATAACAAGTGAGAAAGGTACAAAGGTTTGAATTTCGACAGAGAAAATCGATGTAAAATAGCAAGGTCAACGTGTGCTGCGCGTAGACTAATCGATAAAATGGTAAATTCAAAATGCAACATAGGAATGAAAATGGGGAACTAGGTCTGCCGAGGGATTTCGAAACTCAAAAGGGGCTCGGGTTTACCAGGGCAAGCTGAGGTTCACCACGTGGTCTAACTGTTTACATAGGTCGGGTTTCTCCCGCCGTATATAGGCTGCCTCCATATTCGTATAGGTGGGGGGTGCACACCGATTGACTGGCTTCTCGATACAAACAAACTCCGGAAGGCTGTATGGGTAAATGCCCCTCCAACCGCAGCCACTGAGACTGTCAGGTGGCGAGGCGCTGACGAACTTCGCTTGCACGAAGTGCTTATGACCCATCGGTAGACTCCGTCTGTTGAACATCTGCGCGATGTGCATTCGCATGGTTTCGTTCCTACTCCCAGATGGTGGTGAGGACAGTGGTTGGCTGAATTAAGGCAGAATAAGTCCGACGCAGGGTGTCGAATCAGTCCACCAGCATCTGTTTCGACATCCCCCACCATCACACCTCCCCCCCCTCTGCCAGCATAGCTTGGCCAGATTCGGCCTAGCAGGTGGTTGCCTGTTCGTGACCTCCGCTGACCATTCTGTGTTTGTTGGCTTTGGACAGCCAACAGATCGGTGTACATCTAGTTGTCTATGAATAAATACCATAGTAAGTGAAACAGTAATACCTTTGTCGCTTTTTAATTCCCTCAGAAATTATCTACGAAGTTGGAGCAGATCAGTTTATTCGAGGTCTATAGACTCAGACCGACAACTTCCCGAATGAATATTTGGGCCGAAGTCAATCAGCCACTGTGGGTAACCGCGTAATATTAATTGACTGCCGACATGAATATTTATACTAGCTGCCTGTCGGCAGTTACTTAATATTACGCGGTTACCCACAGTGGCTGATGGACTTCGGCCCAAATATTCATTCTAGAAATTCTCGGTCTGAGTCTATAGACCTCGAATAAACTGAATTACTCCAACTTCGTAGATAATTTCAGAGGAAATTAAAAAGCGACAATTTCTAAATTGGAGTATCTACCAGAAAGCAGACGGGGAATGCTAGGGGACCCACTGACGAGCCGAACCCCTCGCAGCTGCGCCATGCAGCGGCAGAAGATCGGCGAAACACGCTTGTGTGGGCTTTTTGCTAGTACGTGTGCTGTTAGTATGGTATCACCTTACCCTAAAATAATACCTTTGTTGGTCGTTCTTGTTTTTGCTCAGATGCCAGGGTGTAAACATTAATCGAGTGATATTGTCACAACATAAACGAGCGCATTCCCATTACTGGGATGGCTGGCTGCCTAGCAGGTTGGAAAGAAAGCAGGTAAGAATGTCGCCATTTGGCGTCAAAAGTTTGTCCACTTGACTGAGTCGTACTGTTGTTGTTGTTAGGACTCATTGTGACTCGGATGACAAATCTTTCGATTGTCATGCTTGTGTGTATGAAGCCTGATTCCGTTAAAACTTTGAGAAAGCGTGTTCCTATCACAAGCGAGATGGATTTTAGGTGTCTAATCAACCATTACATCGGAGCCTATCTCAAAAAGCTGTTGGTTCAAACGTGTACTATAACGAGATCCATTCTGCGCGGGTTTCTCTCATGGCATACAATCTACGTATAAGTAACTGTCATGCCCTTTCGTGGCACAGTCCTTTGGAGTACTGCAGACTGACTCTACTGGGCTTTAGGACGCCTCTGATCGTCGAGGCTGTCAGCTGAAGATAGCACTACATAGGCGGCCGCTGTTCTAGTCTTGCCCCGTCTACCACAATCTAATCCAGATACTTCCTCTCAAAGAAAGTCCCTTTTCCCCAGTTAAACTGTAATGTCCTTAGGTCTTCGTTAGTATCACGGAAGTAGGTAGACTACCTCACTTCTCTTCGTTGTGAATTACACTCTCACACACTGACACGTGGAATATCAGATAGAGGACGTGTTCGCACCCTTCTGCCGCAAACGAGGACGTTTGTCACCTGCCGCACCAAGCGGTGGCTGTTCCGGTGGCTGGCGAGTGAGTTTATAGTGAGACGGACTCGCGCTGCATCTATCGCACCCTTTTCTCCCCCCCCCCGCCCCCATCTTGCTCTGGTGGTGGAACAATGTCAAGACGACCGGAGATGGACTCGAGAGCTAAACAGCACGTCTGCGTGTACCCCGCACAAGTTGGTTCCGTGGCATTTGAAAGGCTTCCAAGAGGGTCGGACCGTTTCGCACATGTGTGGGAGTGTCATAAGTGCACATTGATGAGGAGGAGCTGCTACGGCCTGACTCTCACTCCTGAGAACGACCACGTTGCCTCGCCAACTGATTCTCAGTACGGGGTCATAGATTCAAAGAAGACTTGCACACAGACCGGAAGCAAACATTAGGCGTCAAGCCATGAGGCCGAAAGGCCCATTGCCACGGCAGGAAACGTCTGGAGTCGTTTACGGGATCTGGTGCAGTTTCGGACAATGCAACTACGTCGGAGAAACTAAGAGATTACTCCTTATGCGAATTGCCGAGCACGCAGCAGCAGTGAGGTGGGGAGACGCTAACTCTCCGGTGACGGCTCAGTCCATGGAACCCCGCCATATTTTACAGTTTCAAGAGGCGGAAATCCTCGTGAAGGGTGACAACCGCGTGAGCCGCTAGCTGCTCGAGTCATGGTTCTCAGGCTCGCAATCCATCAACAAGCGCAATGACCTTCCGTTACCGTATTCCGTGCTGAGATTTTCCCTAGGCGGGGGAATCAATCACGTGGGGAGGGTGCGGGCGAACAACTATCCCAGTGACAGTGAGTCAATATGCCGAGCACTCGTCACACCAGCATCCAGCACGGATGACGAAATCACGGCCATTAGCGACTCGGACGCGATCTGACAAGCCACCATCGCATCAATTACAACTCCAGTGGTGATTAGATGAGCTGTTAATTACAGCGCGCATATGGTCCCAGGGCAGCCACATGCTATAAATTCTGCACTCCTTGTGCCACCATTACCCTTACAGTACCTGTGCTAACTCATGAAATGTCACGAATTAACACAGGTTAACGCCTTTAACGCAAAATCGGTAAACACTACGGCTCCCAAAGTCTGATAGCGGAAAATAAACGATGTGCCAAAGAAATAAAGCAAAGTTTGGTTAAGAAAATATTATTTACTGAGATAAAAATAAATAATTTTCGACAAAAGTCACATTTTCGAGAAACGCCTATATTACAACCAAGTTAATAAAGGCTACGTACGAGGACGTATAAAGGAGGAGGGCGCATAAAAGGTCAAAAATAATTAAGGACAGAAACAGATACAAAAAATTAGTACTTTGTAGATTGTCCATTCGAATTAATAACAGCAGATAGTCTGTCCGACATAGACATGACAAGGTTATCTATGGTCGATTGTAAAATGTAATTATTGAGTATGAAATCCAATTTTTCCTGCATTGAAAGAGTCTTCTTAGCTTTGTGCCAATTTCTTTTGACTATTCCATTTCGATTGGATTCAGATCGGGACTGTTGGCCGGGATGAAAATGGATTGGTTACACAAAGAATTTCCATCCGAAAGCTTTAATAGCGTAGGAAACTGCTTGAATATCAGGCATCCTCCGATTTCGCCTTAATCCGGCCCGTTTTCTATTTAATATACAGATCCGTAGCAAACTTTCCTTCAGAAAACGGTCTTTTCGTCCTTATTTCAACTAAATAAACACAAATAACGACACCAAAAATACACTACATTGTCCACTATAATTTTGACCTCGGCATTTCATGAGTTAGCACAGGTACTGTATGTGCGAATGTCTCTGGTGATGGGTTCGAGTGAGAATCCGAAACGTCAGGCTAATAGATTTCTTGTTCCAGTGATCACATCTTTATCTTCTCAACCCAAGGTGTCTACCACCCTGACAAGTGAGCATTAACAGAGGCAGAGGGAGGGTATGCTCCCCAGAACGGGGCACGCGAATGTTGCACCGGATCAACAAGGGGGCCTGATCAGAGCACGACAGGCGTTATTGGAGGCGAGCACACATAACAAATTTCACACGTGGATTGGTATAGTGCACGCCGAGTTGCGTGCCCACGCCGTGCCACTCACTTGCTCCCGTTCCCACCTCCAGTATTTTTGACTCTGTCCAAAAATCAGGCTTAGATGGATGACAAGGAGAGTGTGCGGCAGAGGCTACGCAAGTCTACTATCATTATAAACTAATTCGCGCAGAAGTCACTGTCGCTGGGCGGCATGTGGTGGACATTGTCGGAATCGACGGTCGAACTGTCGGTAGAGGAAGAGTTGGAGAGGACATGGAGGAAGAGGAGGAGGAGGAGGAGGAGGAGGAGGAGGAGGAGGAGGACAGCTGAGGGATGGTTCCCTGCAGGCCAATCTCTGACCGGAACTCACTACGTACAGAAAACTCCGCTAAACAGTAAGGGGAAAGCCGTCAGGTTGAGCCGTATTAGCGTCCCCTCCCACATCCTCAGACAACAGAATGGCTCTGCAGGATGGTGAGACGAATGGACCTCACACGAGTTGCTGGGACAACACACACATGGCGCCAGTTGTGTCCCCTGAGGACAGTGCTGACGCGGTTCCCAGGCCCCTGTCAGTGAGCCTCCAGCTGTGCCGCAGAGGCGACCTCGTGGCAGTTTTCTCAGGAGGCGCCTGAAGCCGGAGAAGGGGGCGGGGAGTGACGGGAGGAGGCAGGAAGCAGCAGCAGCTGCTACTGCACAGGTTGAAAACCGGTGACAGTTGCTCCGGTACCCACAGGAGAGGCGGCGGCAGCGGCAGCGGTCGCAGCAAAGTGCGCGCGATCGTCTCTTGTGTACGTGCGTCTCCGTGGGGGCGGTGCTGGGGTGTCATCTTGAGAGCACTATTTTGTCACCTTAATTGTTGCTATGTATGCGCACGAGCACATCTGTTTGCATGATGGAAAGGGCATGCGGCCTGACTCCCAGGCTGCGGGTAAACACTCGTCACCGCCTCCGCCCCAGTAAGGCCTTATTTCTTTCTCACTTAAATCGGGAGCAGCTATATGCATATACATATACTGAATAACTAGCGCGGTGTGCATTCCAAAGTGATATAATGAAAAAGTGAAGTCGCTTCGGAAAATCCAGTTGTACTCGTGAATTTCCAAGTTGATGTCATCAACGGGTGCAATTCGGTTTCCCAAGAGTAATCTCTTTTTCACATATATATAATATATATAAGCCAGAAATGGCCATTCCAGTCTCCCTTGTCTTTGCCGATAATAACATGCTGCATATATCTATATAATAGTAGAAGGGAGCTCACAGATCATTCTTACCATGGTATAATATTAGGCTAAAAGGTAGATTTCAATATTTTTATGTTAGCAGTCAGTGCCGGAACTCTCATTTCATCAACGGCATGCCATTGTACTCCATAAATGGCGTTAATGTTTACCATGAATACACGAGGAAGAAAATCCAGTTATAACTGATTAGATTATACTTCCATGCCTGAAAGCGAATAATTCCCACGGGTGAATAGAGAGGACGAAGGAGGCCGTTCTGTGTCGAAAATAAAAAAACATGGTATGCACTCATCAGACGTCCAACTTTATCCCGCACTTACTGTATGCGTCGACTACTGTGAAGCCTTGGGGTTTGAGCTAGAGCACCGTAAGCAGTCGATCACAGATCAGTAGAGAATAGTAACTGACTTATATCATGAAATGTTAACCGACATTCTGAAATGTTCTTTCAGTTAGAAAGATTACTAAGGTGGTATTGTAATAATTATTATCGTGTAGAATAATTCTGTGGTATTTCAGTCATGCAGGGATGTCGACATTTCCACAGAAAGCAGGCTTGGTAAGAATGATTACTTAAGTAGTGCGCATTTTTCAGTGAGTCCCAGGACCCCTTTTGACTCAAATATATTTTATCGGAAACGTAGACACATACAATGGTAGAAGAGCGCCCACCGATCGTGTTACGGAACTCACTCGTTCCGTTGTGCCTTAGGACTCTCTCTTGAGCCCAACCGGCAGCCCCTCTACCATTGTATATATCCGATCGAAACCAACAGGGTAACGAACCCGTGACTCAGTAGGTAGAGGCGTTTAACTTCTAACCAACAGGTCGCGGGATCGAGCCCCAGGTGTTCCACATTTCGGGGTTGGGTATGACTGGTTGGCGACGGCGAATAAGCCAGAAATGGCCATTCCAGTTTCCCTTGTCTTTGACGATAATGCTATTCTGCCTATACATAAATACATTTCACTGGGTAGTAAATTACGTATTCTTCGCGTTCTATACTCGGAGAAAGGATATCTTTAGGTCTTAAAATCTTTGTTAATTCGGTGACTCATCCGTTTGTGATCCCCGTAATCCCATTCGGAGGTTAGTTGTTCTTCGAAGACAAACTGATCGCCAATTCCTCTGAGACTACCGGAATCGGTGAGTTCCAAAAACCAGTTGAGACGGAGGTGACTCGATCGCTGGAGGAATATCTTTTCTCCGCCTGAGTCCCAGTGGTGGAAGCTTCTCTGAAAGCCATCACCGCCTGACCCGGAGGCTACCTCAGACATGGTTGTCCGGCCTGCAGTTCGTCAACGGATTTAATGACCCCCCCCCCCTGGCACATTTAATACTAAGACTTTGCTTGGGTAGTCACGCGGCAAGCGCGCGAGCGGACACTGCCTCCTGTATCAGTAGAAGTGAGCCAGATGGCAGATTAATTATCAAGCTTGTAACTCACATGCGTGAGGATGTCGGCGATCGAGCTATCATCACAACAAATACGACCATCGGCGATGAGTGGGGGGGGGGGTAGGCTGTGGGCTAGTATCCGCACCCTGCAGATATCGTAACCCTTATGTGTTCACCATACTCACCTGCTTCTTTATCCGATAAGGGTGTAGAAAGTGAATCATAAATGTCCGGTGGATAAGATGGTTGTGTCAACTATTTTCTGGTCTGTGACTGCATATGCAGTCGACCTTGACAACTGGTGCTGGCTGACGAGTCACTTTCCTGCTGACCCCTCTGTGAAGCTTAATGAGTGGACCATGCACGCAGTGTGTGCGTGCCCTCGCTCGTGCTTGTAATCGCGAGTGCTGAGAGTGTCCCTCCTCCCCCACAACGGGCCACGCGGAAATTGCGCTGGACTAACACGAGAGTTAGATCGGACTCTGACAGGCGTCATTGGGCTGGACATCCATAACAGATGTCACACATGGGAAGGTGACAGCACACCTAGGTGCAGGCTCCCGTCGCGCCAGTCACCTGCGCTCGCTCCTGTCTTCTTGACTTTTTCGTGACACCGGGCTCAAATGGGTGTGGAGGATACAGTGCGATAGGTGCAGCGCATATCACCGTCCCTGTGCCCACGCTGATGCAGACACGTGGGGAATTTCACTGGAAGCGACGGTGGAACATAATATTCAGTAACTGCCGGCTGCGTAGACAATTTCTGAGGAACTTAAAAACCGGCAATTTCTAAATGATAATATCTACCAGAATACAGACGGGGCATGCTGGGGGACCCACTGACGAGCCGAACCCCTCGCAGCTGCGTCATGCAGCGGCAAAACATCGGCGAGACACCTTTGTATGGGCTTTTGGTTAGTACCCGTGCTGTTAGTATGGCATCACCTTACCCTAAAGTATACTTCTAGCTGCCTGTCGGCGGTTATCCGTTGTGGCTGATGGACTTTGGCCCAAATATTTATGCATTAAATTCTCTGTCTGAGCCTATAAACCTTGAATAAACTGATCTACTCCAACTTCGTAGATCATTTCAGAGGAAATTGAAAAGCGACAATACTTGTCCTACTAATTCACGCTGGGATATCTTCAGTGTCGTCACGAGACTTATAGGCTTCAGCATATATGATGTCCTATGCTAGTGCCTTGGCGCAGGGCATCAATTACTTCTCCTTGGAAGTAGGCATAGTCTGGAAGTTAATTAAATGCCGTGGTCGGGGGAGATTCTTAGAAAGCGCTCACCCGTGGCCGAACAAAGTATATCAATTCAGGCGGCCTACCACGATGTTGGGGAATTGGTTGGTAGATATTTGTAGTGTTGCTGACGGATAGGGTCTAAGCCATGAAAGTCGCAGTTTCGGACCAGTTGTCCTTACGGTTTTCTTCGTCTGACTTTAAGGTCATCTAATGGAGCCAACGGGAGGAGTCGTCAGCATGAAACCTGTCTCAGGCGGTCTGGGATGAGGACTGCTGGGCATCTGTGCTGACCCAGTCATTACGATACAACTGCGTGGATGTAGGAATGCTTTCAGCGACCTCGATTACTGAGTGCTCCAATTATGGCCAGCTGCTACCGATATCAGCTTCGATGCAGACTGCAAAGCGAGGTCGAATCTCTGTATTCAGAGCCTCAGTCAGGTTGGACTATGATAACTTTACGACATTGAGGTATCTGACATTATGCATTTTGAATACAGGCAAGCGGTGACCTTCAGGCGTGTGTTGAAGAGAACATGGACCGATTCGTGCGTTTCGCCGATTCCGGTGTCACGCATCGATCTACCGCCAAATCTCGAAATGTGAATAATGCAATCATTTGGGTTGGTCACCTGACTGTCGTCGGAATACCAGTTACCTCACTAGATCCGGATGTTCCAGCTACCTGGAATAACTATCATACCACACCGACAAAGATGGGCAACCGGCCCTTGGATTGGACGTATACTTGTCGCGCTGGTCCGAAATTGGAGTTGCGACGTAAATGAAGATTACGGAGATCTGGACAAACTGACCTTTCACCTGTAATCACGCCGATTAGTAATTTACTGATTCCTACGCAGGCAATGGCCGACTTGCCATCTCTGAGAAAGCGATCGTCATACCTCGTATACCGGAGGAGTCGCAGACGATACGGTGCTGATGCGTGAAATATGAAGTTACCCTAGAGGCCGTGAATTCCCGACAGCCCAGGTCTGGGATTTAGACGTCTGACAAGCACGGGTATCCTCTTTTTATTCGTGGGCTGCACCAGAGTCAACGATCGTCCGTACATTCCGGCATCCACTATAAACTGTGCAGTCGAACCATCATGAGACAATTTTGGAGCTCTCTCTCTCTTGAACTTCAAGACACAACGGGACGAGTGAATTTCGTAACGCGATCTGTGAGCGCTCCTCTACCATTTTTAGTGTGCCCGATCGCTACCGACAGGACAAGGAGCCCGAGGCTCGTTATTTAGGACGTTGGACTTCTAACCAGCACCAGGGGGTTGGATATGACTGATTGATGACGACTAATAAGTTAGAAATGGTAATTTCCGTCTCCCCTGTCTTTGTCGATAATGTTATTCTTCCTACAATACGTAAAACCGATGGACTGCCTGTGGGGACCGAGAGGGAGGGAGAGAG